CCTTTCCTTCCTTCCTTCCTCCCTCCCCCCTCCCTTTCTTTTTCTTTCTTTCTGTATTGTGCTAGTACCGGGGCATGAACTCAGGACCTCACATTCCTGCTTAGCTTTTTCAGCTCATTTTAGCATTCTACCTACCACTTGAGCCACACTTCCACTTCCAGCTTTTTGCTAGTTAATTGAAGATAAGGGCTGAGGCTGGCTTTGAACAGGATTCTTAGATCTCAGCCTCCTGAGTAGCTAGAATTATAGGCATGTACCTCCAGCACCTGGGTACTGTCCTGGGTACTGTCCCTGAGCTATTTTGTTAAAGGCTAGCACTCTACCACTTTTGCCACAGTTCTACTTCCAGCTGATTTGGTGGTTAGTTGGAGCTAAGAGTCTCATGGATTTTCCTGTCAGGTTGGCTCCAGACTGTGATCCTCAGGTCTCTGCCTCCTGAGTAGCTAGGATTACAGGCACAAGCCACCAATGCTTGGCTGGTTATTCACTCTATACTTGGTTTAAGTAGAGCTTTGTCAATTCTTTACAATAGTTCTGGTCTTCTATCTTCACTTCCCCTCCCCACAGGTTTCCTGGCCTACAGGGCTAGAAACAATTTCTGTAAGAATTAAAGCAAAATCAAATGAAAGAGAAAAGAAAAAGAATTAAGGCAAATCAATATGCCTAAAATACCCTCTAGGGTACTTTGGACTTTGGCTTGAGTTTGAAGAATGAATAGGAGAAAAGGAAATGGGCTGAATGTGGTAGAAACAAAAAAAAATTGAGAAGAGGCATTGACAAGGGAGAAAAAAGCAAGGTGCTGGTGGCTCAGACCTGTAATCTTAGCTACTCAAGAGGCTGAGATCTGAGGATCATAGTTCAAAGACAGCCTGGGCAGGAAAGTCTGGGAGATTCTTATCTCTAAATAACCATCAAAAAACCTGAAGTGGTACTATTGCTCAAAGTGGTAGAGCATTAGCTTTGAATGAAAAACTCAGGGATAGTGCCCAGGCCACGAGTTCAACTATTGCCAAAAATAAAGCAGGGGCGGGGCGTGAGGGGTAGAAAAATTTCCTTGCAACCTTAATTCCTTTATGAATTGGAACTGATCGTCATTGTTAATACTGGGAGTGGAGCTCACAGAAAAATCAGGGTCCAAAAGCATGGTTGAACCAATGAGAGCCATTGAATTGTTCTTAGGCAGGAAAAAGAAATACTTGGACTTGGAAATTATACTTGTGGAAATAGCCTTATAGCTTAGAAATATGTGCTCCTATAAACAGGTTAGACAATATGAAATAAAGCAACTTGAAATCTGACACTCTTTCCCACTAAATAATAACTGATAATATTTTTAGCAATGTCTCTTCTGAAATCATGCTTGTAGAATATTGTCTCAAACGTCATGTAAACTGAACCTATCTAAACATGTTCAGTTTTTTCCCTCTTTTCCAATAGGTTGTGACTAGCTTATCAAGTCAGCAGATCTTTAACAGCATTCTAAATTCCTGCTTGGTCCCTGCATTGTATATAAGTACAAACCATTTATTTAATAAGTCTTCCCTCCAACCTCATATAACCTAAGGGCTTTCATCTTTACTTGATAAGGAAAATCTGCAATTAGCTCAACTTGACATTGCCAGAAACAGCTTGTGGTCCACTAACACTCAAAACACTGGTGCTCTACCTGATAAAGGATTATATTCCAGTCAGTCAGGGCTCAGAGTTTGGAGTAGGAACTCCTCTTGTTCTGTTGGCATCATAAACTGAGTCTCCAATTCATGCTTGCTTCTTCTCAGGGTATTTTCTGCTACATTTTGGTTCCCTGACCAGGAAGTGACAATCATGATGGGCCTTTGCTTTCATGGAAGCACAAGATGCTTCTAGGTTTGAAAGAGGCTGCACCACCACATTGTTATTCTGGTCCTCCTCCGAGGGGCCTGGCTCTGAGAAAGTAGCAGTCTTCTGGACTCAATGGAGACATAGACCAACTCTGAACAACTGCTTCTGAATCAGGTAAGGGCCCAGGTCTCTCTGAAAACAAGCCCTATCCAGTGGACAGAAGAAGAGCCTGATCACCTCCGATGGCCCATTTGAAGAGAGCACCAGTTTAGGACACTCCCAAAGTGGGGAGAGATTGTTTTAACCTCTTTTTTGTCAGTCGTGGGGCTTGAACTCTAGGCCTGGGCACTGTTCCTGAGCTCTTCAGCTCAAGGCTAGCGCTCTACCCCTTGAGCCACAGCACTACTTCTGGCCTTTTCTGTTTATGTGGTGCTGAGGAATCGAACCCAGGGCCTCATGCATGTGAGGCAAGCACTCTACAGCTGAGTCACCTTCCCAGCCCTCGTGGCTCCATGGCCAAAAGCTACAGAATTGGAGTGAGTCTTAACCTGTGATTCCATGGTGACTTCCTAAGGCACAACAGTGATTCACATCCTGTAATAGAAACTGTAACCAGGCCTGGGGTTTGTGTATTCCTGTGAGGAATGTGGCCAGGTGGACAACATGAGTGACTTACCTTTGTCTGTCCTTACAATACCAAGCAGGGAGGAACATGGATGGGAGTCAGTCAAAACCAACGGTCTTAGAGTAATTAGAAGCAGGTATGGTGGCCACCCTTGTAATCCTATCACCTGCTAGGCTAATAGTGTGAGGCTCAAGCTCAAGGCAACCTGTTGATGTTTTTTGCCCACTAGAATAGATTTTTTTTTTGTCGGTCATGGGGCCTGAACTCTGGGCCTGGGCTAGTGCTCTACCACTTGAGCCACAGCGCCACTTCTGGCTTTTTCTGCTTATGCGGTGCTGAGGAATTGAACCCAGGGCCTCATGCATGCAAGGCAAGCACTCTACTACTGAGCCACCTTCTCAGCCCATAGAATGGATTGAGAATAAAGGAATCAAGATGACTCTGGGGGATCTTCAGACCTTCTGTTTTGTTGAATGCTTTACTTTTGGTGTAGATTGGCTCCTGGAAGGCACTGTCCATGTCTGCGTTATTAGAGAAGTTTACCGGCTGGGAACAGGGGAGCCTGGTCATAGAGACCAGTTCCCCATACAGACTCCTGGTTGCAGATGGCATTAACCCTCCCTCCATGGGTGAGTTCTACAAGGTGAGTTCTGTAAGGTCCTATTAGCAAAGCCATCAGGGCCTCAGAAAATAAGCTTATTTATCAGGGGGACCCTGAGGCAGAGGCAATTCAAACTAAAAACTTTGGATGGGATCAGTACAATTGTTTAAAGGTCCCACAGTTCCTCCTGGAGTCTCCTCTAGCAGCTGTCATGGGCCTCCCTCATAGCCCCCATTCAGCAGGAAGTAGCAGAACAGAGATCATCGCCCCCATGTCCCTATAGCAGTCTGGAAAAACGGGGTGGGATGAAAGAAGCATCAGCTGACATAAGAGAGCAGCTGTCTCAGAGGAGCCAGGAACCTGGAAAGTAAAAGTTCATCAGGCATACCTGCTGCCAATAAGCTTGAGAGAGTGTGACTACAGCCTGGCTTTGGTCACTCCTGGGCCGACCAATCCACACATGGCGGAAGCTTGAGGATGACCTTTTGGATCAGAATATTGGTTATAGTTGCTGTGTCTGGACTGTATATAAAATCTGTAACATCTAAGGATGGATGTCAGGATTGTGTATATACTACTCCCATCCTGTGAAAACAATCTGATGCCAGCCTAACGAATGATTTTATTTGGTCTGTAAGTTAAAAGATGTAACTATGTTCTGGTGGTTTGAACTGAGGACCAGGGGTAGGGGACCTCTGCCAGCAGTTTCCCCAGACCCACTCATTCAGAGCAAAGATGGTTCTCAAGCCTAGGTGAGCCCCAGACCTTAGTAGGCTTAGTCTTATCCATAACAGTAGGATGCTTAATCATTCTGTGTGTACTGCTTCTTATAGCTCGCTAAGTGATAATGCTCTTTCTCGCTAATGTATATGTGTATGTATATATTAATATATAGTATATATATTATCAAAGGAGGGAATATGGAAAACCTGCCATTATCAGAACTACCTCAACCTGATATTGCCAGAACCACCTTGCAAGTAATTTTGAAAAAACCATAACCGTTTGGGTACATCGACACTCTACTGGATAAAAGGATTGTACTCCTGTCAGGCGAGTCTGAGAGTCTGGCGTAGGAACTCCTCTGGAGAGTTCTCTAGTTCTCCCAGTGCTGGTTGCTGCTTCCCTAGAGTATCTTCCACAACATTCTAAATTGTTCTATTATCTTTTCAAGGCTGGTTCTTAAAAGAAATGGGGTGTAAATGTAAATTGCCTTTAAACATTTGGATTCAAGTTGCCAGTTGTCCACAAATTTGCAGGGAGAAGGGAAGCAGCTGCTGTATTCACTCTGGCGTGAGATGGTGGCAACAGAGGATAGAGAATCACAGGTGATCTACCCACCGAGGCCAGCGATCGGTGGGTTGGAATATTCCTTCCCTTTTTCTCACTTTTTCTTAACATGGAGGAAGGAGTAAGAACCGCGTCTCGCAGCATTTCGCAGGAACCATCCTCTCCGGGAACTGTAGTACACGGCTTTGAGAAGGGACAGGAAGGAGGAGGGTAGGGACAGTGGGGCATGGTGGGATATGTAGTCTTGAGAGTGTCGAAGGGCATTCGTGCAGACTGGACATCCTTCTAGCTTTGCCACCTGGCTGTGGGACTGCAAAATGGCCTCACTTGCCTGGTAGAAGGACTTGGAGTTACAAAAGCCGCCCGCAGACTATCGGCTTTCATCCCGATACTCGTGACCCGGGGCTAGAGCACGGGTTATTTGCATCAGCGCGCGCGCAGCCGGAGGCGCAGGCCGTGTCGGCCGGAGCAGGGCATGCCGGGAGTTGTGGTCTAGGCGCGCTGAGGCCGTGGGACGTGTCGCGACGCCTCGCGGGCTCCTCCTCCCCCGCCCTTCCCGGCGGTCCCCGCCCCCTCCCTCCGCCGCCCCCTCCCTCCGCCTCCTCCGCGCTCGCCCGCAGCCGAGCGTCCCCTCCCCCACCCGTCGGGCGCTGAGGCTGCTACTGCAGCGGATCCCGAGCCCAGCCGCTGAGGAGGAGGAGGAGGAGGAGGAGGAGGAGGAGGAGGAGGAGGAGGCGGCTCCGGTCCCCGCGCGCCATCCGCCGCCCTACTGGACTCGGGCGAGGGAGCGAGAGCGTCGCCACTGTCGCCTCCGGAGAAGACAAGGGCACCGCCGCCTCAGCCGCTACCGCGGTTTTCTCCTGCAGTCGCTCCCGGGTAAGGAGACCCCCCCCCCGCCCCGCGCCCCATCCCCCGGCTCTCCCGTCCGGAGCCGGGGCTGGGGGTGCTGGGGCTGCGGAGCCGCCGCGCGGGCTGGGGGAGGGGGCCGAGGACGCGGTGGAACGGCGGGCCGGCGAGGGAGGCTGGTCCCGGCGCGAGCTGGGGGTGGGGTGCGGGTGGGACCCGGGCGGGGGTGTGGGGGGGCGCGGTGACTGTTCATGCGGGAATCATCAGACCTGGGACTGGAACGTGGGGTGTGGTGAGGGAGCCGGAGTGGAATTTGGGATGTCTTGGGGCGAGGTTGAAGAGGAGACTGGAATGGGATGGCTGCTCATGGGGGAGGGGACCGAGCCAAGGTGGTGATTTGGGGTTGGCCTGGAGCAGTTGACAGCTTGGGTTCTGAGCCGGGGTGGGAGGCGGTGGGATGATTTCAATACCGAGCGGGATGCAAACGGTTGAATGGGACCCTGGGGAGGAAGGTGGAATTTGGGGGGTGGGGTGGGGTGGGGGGGAACCTGGGACAGGCTGATGGACGTGGTTGGAACTGTGGGGGAGGGTGAGGGGCATGGCATGGATTGAAACCTGAGCTTAAAGTGGGCGGTTGTCATTCGTGGATGGTGGAATTTGTGGAGACTTAGGGAAACCGCGCGAGTTGGGAGAGAGCAAAGGGGGTAGAATCGGGGGGTTTTCCTGGAGTGGGCGGATCGAGGTTGGAATAGGACCTGGTGGGGATGAGACTTTCCTCGAGAAGACCGTGGTGGTGAGCTGATGGGAGATGGTAAATTGCAAGTTGGGCCCCAAATGGGAGGGATTGAAATTGGGGGTGGGGCACGGCGGGATAGGATTTAGGGTGATCTTAGAATCACCGGAAGGGGTGCAGTGGCGCCCTAGGTGTTAAGTTGGAGGCGGGGAACACTTAAGATTGCTAGGTTGGACTCACTGAAAGAATAACGGCAGGTGGTGAGCAAGGTGGGGGGATGGTGTCTTGAAGAAAATGTCCCTCTGCCGAGGTGGCAGAGGGAGTTTTGGAGAAGTAAGGTCTGTGAGATGGTGGTGAGGTGGCACCAGAGAAATGCAAGGTGTGGGAGACCTGGAGTTGTGGCGAAGAATAGGGCAGAGAGGATGGAGAGGATCTGTGAGCAGTTGCTGGGAAGGGAATGCATTGGGTTATTCTGGAGAGGAAAGGTTGGGATGTCCTCCAAGAGATGCTGGAGGTTTAGGGGTTGGAACCCTTAAATGGACAGCTTTGGTGGCTGTTTGCGGGGAAGGGCAGTAATAAGGTCGTTGGAAGGGACTTTGAGGGGACCGAGAAGGCACATTACAGACCGTCTGCCTAGAGGACATTTTAAGCTGTCAGTTTGACCTTTTTGTTTTAGTTATATTTGTAGCCTTTGGAAGTGGTCAGCCCGAAGGGTAAAGTTGATAGGGGCGTAAGGCAGAATTAAGGAAGGGAGGGTATCTTCTATTATTCATATATCATAAAGAGGAAGTTGAAGGGAAAACCTCGCAAAGGTGGGTGGGAGAAGATGAAAATGGAATGTGATATAATCTTTTTGTATGCCGTTCTTGCCTTCTCCTTTCCTCTTCTCTCCCCCTGCTTTTAAAACTAGTCCCAGTATTTGGAATTTAAATAGATTTGATGAGCTTGAGGATGTTAAGGGTGCATTGCTTCCTTGAGAACTGATGAATGAGACTGAAAAATAAGAGGCAGAATTTATTTTCTAGGCAAGCAACGTGCATGTATGCAGAAAGAGATTCGGCCTTTTCCCCCCTCTTAAAATTGATTGCTTGAAGACTCCATTTATTGGTGTCCTGGTTTGCAAGGCAATTAGGCCCATCATTGTATTGCAGGCTAATAATCCTGAGATGAGTCTTGGCACCACTGCTTTATATAAACAGAGCGAAGACAGGAAATATGGAAATGTCATAAATATTCATTGGTGAGATGGTTTGGTACTGATGGAGTTTTTCATTTGATTCTTTTTTTACATTCCTTGATAAGATTTTAAATAATTGGACTATTTTTATAGATTGAATTTTCTTCTGAAGGAATTCAAGTGATCAGAATTTTGTCAGATGTGGATAAATGAAGTATATAGTCATTTTTATTTTATTTTAATGGATGATGTTGATGTAGGCACATTGCATTAACTACAGAAATAATATCTCCATCTATCAGAAATTTGATTTAAAACTTAAGAGAGAAGCACATTTTCAGGGCAGAAGGTAGAGGAATGTAAATAGAGGGAGCATCTTTAGTGAAACACTTTTCTGGACTTAATTGCATTAACTATGATATGTTAAACATGAAGTGGCTGTTGATTAGAGCTCAGACTGAGGGAAAATGAGGAGAGATGTAAAAGATAAAATTGGCACTAGTGAAATAAAAATAATTCTTTATTGTTTTTGCTAAAGCTTCAGAGTTCAGCTAGAAAACAAGCCATTTTCCCTGTCTTTTCACATCTTTCACAGTTGAGCACATAAAAATACCCATTTCAAATTTTTTTTTTGTAGTTCCAATGGGCAAAATGATGGAAAGTTGGACGTAACCTTAGAATTGAGAGTGTTTTGTTATGAGGAAGCTTTCTGTATTACAATAAAAATCAGGATTTGAGCAGTTACCTGTAACTTGATAAGAGTGTAATCTAACTAATACAAGTATTTCTCCTTATAACTTTACTCTGGGGTCCAAGCATTGCTTTTGTAAATCTGAAGGAAGAGTATAGAGGTAGGGTATTTATATTTGAAGCTCTAGCTTTGAAAGCCTAAAATAAAATTAATCACCTGGGAGAAATTGTGTTAGTGCATTCTTTTTTATCCCCGGCAGCCATGGTCAAATCGTGTAACAGTAATGTCTGTAAAGTGTTTTTAGTATCTACCTTATTTGACCCTCCAGACTCTGGTGAAAAGGAGCGAGCAGGTGAAGTAGACAGAAGCCTGGGTAGAATGAAGTCAAGGGTCCTGCCTTCGAATCTCAGTTCCACCTCTTGAAAGCTTCATGACCCTTTTATACTTAGTGATGATGGTTGCACAACATTGTCATTGTACTTACTGGGCTCAAAATGGCAAAACAAAACAAAATACATTTATACTTCACAGGGCTGTCAAGGGGAACAACTTAGTTCCTGTCCCAAAAATGTCATGCATATATGAAATTTCTGTTCAATGTTTGTTTACTGTCCGCTTGCTAAGTGCCAGGGGAAAATGAAAATGAGCAAAAAGTAGTTGTCAAGGAGCTTCCAGTGTCATGGGACAGAGAGACAATTTAAATGTAGCCAAAGAAGTGAGGCAAAATGAATACATGGTTTAGAATGTGGATTCTGAAGCCTGCTCACCACATGAGCTATGGATTCTGAAACCTGCTTACCACACATGAGCTGTGTGACCTTGGTCACAGTGAGCTCATCTGTAAAGTGGAGAAAGGAACCAATCTAATGGAGTCCTTTTGTGTATTAAACACATAAACTATGTGTATGCATAGTTAAACATACACTGTATACACAATAGACATACATAGTTGTCGTTATTAGAGACCTAGGCCGAGACTATAATGGTAAATAGTCTTGTATGCCCTCTTGAGATCTTAGAATTATGATATTCTATTACTTATTATGGAGGTATTATTTTGTATTTTAATTTTTTGTCAGTTGTGGGGCTTGAACTTAGGGCTGGGGAACTATCCTTGAGCTTTTCTGTGCAAGACTAGTGGTCTATCGCTTTGAGCCACAGTGCCACTTCCATTATTTTGTATTAAGATAATATAATTTATCTGAATTTTGGATGTTTGTTGTTTAGGAACTTTTTTGTGTGCCTGTCCTGGAGCTTGAACTCAGGGCCTATGCACTGAGGGCGTTTTTTTTTTTTTTTGGTTGTTTGCTTTTTTTTTTTTTGGTCGGCTATGGGGCTTGAACTCTGGGCCTGGGCCTTGTCCCTCAGCTCTTCAGCTCAAGGCGAGCGCTCTACCATTTGAGCTACGGCCCACTTCTGGTTTTCTGGTGGTTTATTGGAGATAAACCCGGGCTGGCTTTGAACCGAGATCCTCAGATCTCAGCCTCCTGAGTAGCTAGGATTACAGGTGTGAGCCACCAGCGCCTGGCTTGGTTGTTTGCTTTTTAAGCTCAAGGCTAGTGCTCTACCATTTGAGTCACAGCTCCATTTCTGGCTTTTTTGGTGTTTAGTTGGAGATAAGAGTCTTAAGGGCTTTCCTGTCCAGGCTGACTTCAAATCTTGATCCTCAGATCTCAGCCTCCTGCTTGACCCACAAGCACCTGGCTTGTTCAGGAACTTTAAACAGTTCTTCAGATGCTAAGAAAAATACTAAACAGATGTCAGCTGTGAGCTTCTTTATCTATAAAATAAGAAATGGCTGCTGGAGGTTAAATGGTTTAAGGTTATACAGCCAGTAAGTGGAAGAGTCTGCGTTATAGCACAGAATTGATTCTCCAACCCTTTTTATATCCTTTTAAAAAAGGGTGCAGTAATTCATGTATGAAGTATACAACATGAATTGACAATTTAATAAGTTAAAGACCTTTATACTTGCTACCCATCTTAAAATACTAGGAGTTGAATTCAGGGCCTCTTAATGGCTTTACTTGGCTGATGTGGCTGATGCTCTAAAATTTGAGCTATGCCTCTCACCCTGCTTTTTGCTGGTTATTTTAGAATTGGAAACCCTGGGACTTTTCTTCTTGCCTCCTGCCAACACTGCCTCTAAGGGTTGGGCTGTGTGTGTGTGTGCACATGTGCACATGTGCGTGTGCATACATGCGCTCACGCACAAACTCAGGGCCTGGGTGCTGTCCCTGAGCTGTTTTGCTCAGGGCTTGCACTCTACCATTTGAGCCACAACTTCACTTCTGTCTTTTTTTTTTTTTGGTGGTTAGTTGTACATAGTCTCGTGGACTTTCCTGCCCAGGCTGGCATTGAACAGTGGTCTCCAGATCTTACCTTGCTAGGTAGCTAGGATGACAAGCACTGACTCCTGGCAGGTTGAC